AGACATCAACCTCACAATGAGTCTCTTCACTGGTTTTGGCAAGTCTTTCCCTGCTCTTTGTGAAAAAGTGCCAGTTCCCTAGTATGATTACATCACATTTTGTTGGTGTAATATAGATTGCTCCTGCTGACTATATCCAGCCTCTTACGAAGACTTCAGATGACCCAACAACTGTGAAGAGATGACGAGGACTTGAGAGGACTTCAGATAAAGCGGACTCAGAATAAACGTGTAAAAATGTTTTAAGTTGTTTTAAATTGGAATATACTACAAATATATTTTTATATATTAATAATTGAGGGGTACACAAGAATCAAAAACATTAAACTAGATTAGTTTTCACTTAAAATATCTTCATTTATTTGGAATGAATTGACAATAAACTTAACATTTACCATGAGATTAGTAAAACGACAATGAACATTAAGATGTGATTGAACTTGACTAACATGCAAGTTGTAAGAACACACACACACACATACATATATAATTATATTTATATAGAGAGGCTGGAGTTACCTAGGCAGAAGACCACAATATCGTTTATATGGCAAACACGGACTTTTACCAAGGTAACTTCAGCCTAAAATATGTTAACAAGGCAGGTAAGGATAGCTGACCACATTAATCCTCAAATATTAGAGGATTTTATCTGTTAAAAACAACACTGATATAATATATATATATATATATATATATATATACTACGTATACATGTATACATTATTTCATAAATAATGTAAATAAATTATTTTATTGTCTACTAGCATTACCTTCCATAAAAAGTAACTAAGTAACGTAATTAGTTACTTTTTAATGGAGTAACGCAATATTGTAATGCATTACTTTTAAAAGTAACTTTCCCCAACACTGATGATTAACACTTTTAACAGTAGTTTATTTATTTATTTTTATTTTTTGTTTATTAATATATTATTATATATTATTTTGCAAAGAGCTACACAGTTTTTAGAGTTATAGCCTAGGCTTTATATAAACGCGATTGTTCTTTGTATCCCACAGGTGAGAGAAATGTTCCGGAAATTAACGACAGCATCCAACCAAAGCCGATCTTAAATGGACTCTATGCACGAACGCTCCTTAAGTATTTCCGGTAGAATCTCAGCCAGCGACTTCCGCATAGCGCTATAAGCTATAATACTAGTGGCAGAACTCTTTCTTGATGTATTGTAAACAACAAATAAGTAGTATTTTCTAAATAAGTGTTATTAACATAAAACATATATAACATCTCACTCTAGTTATTGCTTCCTGAACGATTAAATATTAACGGTCAAAGACAGTTGTTTCCCCAAACATGTGTCCTGTTGTGCTAAAGGGGCTATTACTCACCTTATTCCAGTAGAATATCTACTCTGTTTTAGCACACTGCCCTTAATACAAGCAAAGTATTGAAGAGTAAACACTAGAGAAAGACTTCATTTATACCCTTGGCTATTCATACGCTTCACAACAATTCAGTAGAACAGCAATATATGAATTAAAATAATATTTAG